AAGGTAAGGTTAATAGGTATTATTTGCATAAATTAATTGCTTGGTATGATACATTTTCTTAAATCTCAGATTAAAGTATTTTAGTTAATTGGTACCACAACTACGATATAGGATAGCATGGCATTGTAATGATGAGGAAAATGCTTGGGGACAGACCCCTAGCCGACCAAGGCCGATATTGACGTGGCATGTGACACGTGAAGCAGATTTTCCCTTCTTTTAGGGTAAATTTGTTCTTAGTCCTTAATTTTAATAACTTAAATTTATTTTAGTCCCCTTACTTTTTTTTAAGTTAAAAATAATTTAAACTAATCTTGTTAGAATTTAAAATTTTTAGGGTTTTGTTTAGTATGTTAGGATTTAGTGTTTAATTTTTTTTTACGATTTAGTATTTAAGGTTGTAGAATTTAAATTGGTTGAATTCTATATGTTATGATGTTAGGATTTATGTTTTTTGGGCTCTATATTTTATTATGTTAGAATTTAGATTTTTTTTTAAATTAGTGTTTAATGTGTTAGGATTTAGATTTTTAGAAATTAGGATTTAATATTAAAATTTTAAATGTTTAATAATAATAATTTTAAAATTAAAAGACTAAAAAATAAAATTAAAAATTTTAGACTTATGAAGGAAAAATAAACAAAAACACTATAGGGACCAATCGGCTTGGGGACTGATCAATCCCCATAGCATTACTCTATTTGTAAAGAAAGCCTATATCGAGACAATAAACTCGGCTTTCTCTCTTATCATTTTTTTTATTAAATTTTTTGTATTCAAAAATTATATTAACTTAATTAATTTAAAATTGAATCATATCAAATTTCATTAAAAAAAAATATCTTTAATATCAATTTTTTTATTCACAAAACTTAAATTTAAAATTTTGTTTAATAAGAATTAAATTTTTTCTATTAAAACAGACATATTCATTTGTGCTTTCCCTCTCCTCCTTGATATCCTTGATATACTTCTTTTTGAGTCCTACTGTAAGCCTAACATTAAAAAAATTATTATCTAAAAAATAATTTTGGTAGGCTTAATAAATAAGTTGGTAGTTATAGCCTTACCCCACAGCCACAGCCCACAAACTCCTGCACCTTTTAATTTTATTTTTATTTTAATTTTTAGATGGAAACGAAAACATTTAAAAAAAAAAAGAAAAAAAAAGGAGGAAGTTTTCAAAATATATTAAAAAAAGGGCACGTGCATTGTGCATGTAATTTATTACAAAATATACTCTGGGCCCCTATTCTTCAGTCGTTGTGTTGCTTCGCTCGGGCGAAAGTTCAGGTGAAGGAAGTTTTCTTTAGTTTTTCCCATTTTTCCCTCAATGCCATGAAAATTTCTTCGAATTGTAGAAAATGATGGAGATTATCGTATTTTTCTTTGTATTTTTTTTCCATGGAATCAAGATAGTTTCTTAATGTCTCGCGCAGTTTACCGAAAATGTGGAGGCTGAAGACCGCGGAGGGAGGAAATCCATGGCTGAGAACGCTGAATAATAATGTCGGAAGACAAGTTTGGGAGTTCAATCCTGAACTCGGATCTCCCGACGAGAAAATGGAGATCGACAAGGCTCACCGGGACTTCTACAACAATCAGTTTGAGAAGAAGCACAGCGCAGATCTACTAATGCGAATTCAGGTTTCCATGTTTAACGGTTGAATGATTGGCTGTGAAATTGCCTGCTCGGCCTAGATTTTTTTTTTTTGAATTTCTTGATGTTTCATATTTACAGTCGCCTTCTTGGTTGCTCTTTTGATTCACAGTTATGTGATTCTGAACTCAAGGAAAGCTAATAGTTAAATTCAATTTAACAATCATGTTTATAGAAAAATTCGTTGTTTAAAATGTTCCTACTTATGTACTCAGCTTCTGCCTGTAGTTCTTTAGTCACTGTTTCTATTCTGATTCAAATTTTGTGCGTTCCGTTCTTTCATCCTAAAGTTGAACCTTCCGATCTTTGGAAACACATCCTGAAAAAAAAAATTATAATGAATGAAAATTGTCACCATCCTCCCCATTGTATTCTAATTTTCTCTCCTGGGGCCTTTTATAATACTCAGCACCTGTGGAGATCTCAATTTAATGTTGCATTGATGTCGGAATACGACATGGAAAGTAACAGGAACAGAGAAAAGAATACCCAGTTAGAAGAACTTGAACAGGAATGGCTTCAACGGAAGCAAACACTGCTCTGAGCTCATTCACGATCCTAGAAGTCCTGCACAAAATCATACGCACAATGGAAACTGAATTAACAAAACAATTAACCTCAACGCTTTATAACAAATCCATCCATAATTCATCACAAACCATTTCCTTCTGTTTTCCTTCTGATTTGTCAAAAGAAATATAAAAGGGGCAGTACCTTTGAAGTTCCTTCAAGGACTGAACCAAGACCATACCGGTAGACTCCATCATGTCTTACAACTCCAAATTACCATCATCATGAACTGAAAGATTACTGGGATTGTCTCGAATTCGCTTCAGAACAGAGG